GGGGGAGAAACGGGCGCTTCGGCGACAGGAAAAGCCCCCCCCCCGCTTCTTTGAAGCAGTTTCTTCCTGTGCTGGTGGAGGAGCGAGAGAGAGACTGAGAGAGCTGACCCAGAGAGAAGGACAGGCTTCGGTTGCTTCCTCCCTCCCCTTCTTTCATTTGTGTCCTTGATCCCTGATCCCAGCAGCATTCACCGAAGGTGAAGAAAGCCGCCATTTTTTTTAAAAAAAAATTCTTTGCGGCCCGGTAGAGAGTGCTCCACGGCCCGGTACCGGTCCGCGGCCCGGTGGTTGGGGACCCCTGTTGTAGAGCACAATGTAAAATAAGATATCAGATAACAATAGCAAAAGGCAGTGTAGAGACATTAAATTATAGAGAAAAGAAAGTTCTGCTTTATTATTTACCCCCAAATGTTTGCTACTTCCCACTTTTATCATTTAGAAGGGACAGTGACTTACTTATAGCATAAATTTCAAAGATTATTTTAGATTGTGCTGTAATAACAAAAAGAAAATGAGACATGGGAAATAAAGAAAGGTAATTTTATTCTATGAAAAATAACTTTTTAAAAGGTCCATAATGTTAGTTATATTACATTCCAAAAAGTCCATATAAGTTACCCAGATTGAATAATGGCATCAACGAGACTAAGAAGCACTCTAGCTGGGACACAGAATAACCAAAGTGAAATTTCAAGTCTTTAAAAGTTACTGTACATGATAAATTTAGTAATGGATTATTTGTACAGCTCTCATTGTCAGTGAATGGGGAGTTTTATTTTGTACTATGTGGATTCTAATTCTTATGATAACTGGTGGGATTTAAGAAATGAAGGTTGAGAATCCCTGCTCTAATCCTTTATGGATCCATACTAAATTATTTGAGTTGGCTTCTCTTCATGGTACTTTCCTCAGATTCTTCAATTTCCTCCTTTTGCCTCTCCAAAATGTGCATAGTCCTCATTTAATTCCTCCCCCTTTTCTACTTCAGCTTCTTTTTGAGTTTCATTATTTAATTGTACTAAGATGAGACTAGGAGTAGGTGGTCCTCCATTATTCCAAGACATGTTGTCTTCTTCTTCCTCTGCAGGATAAAAGTGTCGCGCGGCTGACAGAAAATCATCTCCCACATCAAGAAGAATAAGCCGGTCCTGAAATTCGGATATAAAAAAATGGAAGCACAGTGAAGGTGAAAAAAATACATCAAAAATATGATAAGAAATTACACAAAATCCCAATTAGCAGCAAATCATAGATTCCATCACATTTCCATCTTATAAAACTGTGTGGCATAGTAAATATGAGGAGGTAAAGATTTTGAAGTAGTTCTGGGGTGGCAGGTCTCCCAAAAGTTTCGTTAAACATAGTATTAGTTTGGATAAGTTTCATTAAACTTTTTAAAATTTGACTTCTTTAAATACTGTTCATGGTGATTCCTCCACATTTTTGGTGCAAATGGGGAAAAATGCTTAAAGGAATTCGTTAAAGGAATCTAGAACATTCAAAATCCTTCTTGGTGCAAGTCTAGGAAAATTAACATTTCAGAGGGATTGAAGAATTCCACTTAAATATCTCCTAAAGGAAGAGCATAAGCAAATTTTATTTGGTCATAAACAGAAGGTAATAACTTTTGATTTTTAACATGTGGTCTAGTTATCAGCAGAAGTTGAGCGAAGGATTGGAGTGATCGTATTATCACTTAATACAATAAAAACACAATGACAAACAAACAATAATAAAATTAGTTTAATTAAGGTGATTTTTCACTGACATAAAAATGTACTATTACATTATTTGCAAAGACTGTAATGACATATCCACATTTTTTTAGAAAAGAGAGGCTACTGTAATGAAATGGAGCAGAAAAGGTTATTTTCCTCCCTTTCTGGAGGCCCACATTCAGGCCTCACATGGCAGATACCTTCTCAATGAATTGTCTAGGGAAAACCAGAAACGTATGGAAGCCAAAGAGGCTTTGGAGAGTTTTTAAGAAAATTCTCTGGGCTTTTACTTTAATCAGCCACAATCCTATTTCTAGCAACTTCCAATTCCCTCCCTATATGGCTTGTTAGGAACCATGACAAGTATTCCATTAGCATTGTTGGAAAAGGAAGGATTTATCCTAGTTACCAAATAATGCTCACTTCCTGCTGCTAGATGGCAACAAAGAGATCTAGAAAAATCCAAACTCTGTCATCCATAGTTTTGAAGCATGGGTTTGGTGGCCTAAGCCCAGGGATGCCTATGGAAAGGCTGCATCAAAAAGGTCAAGATGGAAGGCCTTATTGTCAAACGCCTGCCCTTTTTATGTCAGTTGCTGTAAGGATATATGGAAACAATCCTGAGATACAGAAAGGAGAGCTATAGATTGCACAACTGGTGGATGTAAAAGCTGTATCAACCCCATAGAAGGTGAGAGGGTGTGGAAATGTTTCAGAAGGAACCATTCCTAGTTTTCTGGAAAGTAAAAGGAAAGGAGAGAAAAGGACTTTCAGACTTGCCTGATTCTGTTAACGTAACCTTACAATCGGTCTGATCTAAGTATAGTACATAAAATTATCTACTGCAATGTCCTACCTGTCAATGAATACTTCAGCTTCAACCACAACAATACAAGAGCACACAATAGATACAAATGAAAGGTAAACTGCACCAAACTTGATTGCAGGAAATATGACTTCAGCAACAGAGTGGTCAAAGTCTGGAATACTCTACCTGACTCTGTGGTTTCTTCACCAAACCCCAAAAACTTTAACTTTAGACTGTCTACTATTGACCTCACCCCTTTCCTAAGAGGTCTGTAGGGGGCGTGCATAAGCGCACCAACGTGCCTACTGTCGCTGTCCTATTGTTTCTTTTTTTATTTGTATCCATTTCATGTATTCATAACCATATTTATACTTATACCTGTTATTTAATACTTGCTTGACAAATAATAAAACAAAACAAAACAATAAAATAAAATAAAATAAAATAACGACAGAGTTAGTACCCCTTGGGCTTCCTGTCAGAATGGCCTTGCAGGCTAACAGTTGCACAGGCAATGTATATTAAAAAAAGAAAAAGGCACAGGGCTTCAGTTATAAGTCCCGGCCACCATTTTGCTTTCTTTGACTTTTGCAGAAACATCACTGCTTATCCCAGCCTCCCAAGAGCAGGACAATGGCAGCTGCAAGTAGAATTCCTCTCAATCCCGCCACCCGATGTTTGTCTCTTTCTTCCTTTTAATATCCTCATTGCTTTCTTTTTCTATCAAAAAGGGTACCTAAACTTGGACCTTGAGATTTCTCTTGTTATATTTTGCAATAATCTTTTATAAATACATAATGTAACATAATGTAACATAACAGCATAAAACATAATATACATAACATATATTTGTGTTCCACAAATAATGATTTCAGTTAGGTTTCTGATAGCTTAAGGATTAAATCTTACTGCTATTCATATGACCTTCTTGGGGATGAGAGAATACTGCAGTAACAACTCTTGTTAAAGTTGCCCCAATGTCTTCTAAATTTATTCACTTTAAAATGGATTGCTTTTGCCTCAGCCCGCCTTTCAAAATATTTTTTTCCAGGCCATGAACCACAAAGTACATTAGAAGGAATCAATTTACATTGGCTCTACATTAGGTTAACCATTGTGGGAAGACCTATATCAAGTTCCAATTAATTAGGAGAGATGCAGCTGCTGTTCTCACCCTCCAAAATAGTTTCTGTGATGCTGTGAGTAATATCCAGGGCTGCTTCTGACATGGCACTGTCTAGACAGTGTATTCTCTACAATTTCACCCCTACTCACCAGGACAAAGAGATATCTCTCTGGTGGACCACCATGGTGATGACCAAAAATTGATGTCTGTTCAGCCAGGGTAGTGTGGAGTCTGCGGGCCTCTTGAGGATTGTGGAGAGATTCATAAGGAGTACAGGAAGTTACAGTGAGTAGGCCATCTGCTTCAGCTTTGAATCCTGTATTGAGAAAATATCATTAACCCTCATATTTCATTCACAGCTATTCAGTAAATGATCTTCTATTGTATTTATATGCACTGCCAGAGAATTCAACATGAAAATGCACCTTCAAACAAGTATACAAAGTTATTTCACTAAATTTCAGATTGCAATTTAGTCATTCTTGAACATATAAAAAGCTTTTATTTGACACCAAGGGATCCTCTATAATCAATATGCTACAAAAGAAAAGGCTTTGTACAACGTAATCATCATCTAACTTTACTACTATAAAACAGTAAAGGGGCACCAATCAGAGCATCAATTACACACAAAAAATGATGTCTGCCATCCTCCATTTGTATTAAGATCAAAAACAGTTTTCAGTGCCTTTCCTGAATCCAGGGACATGGAAGAAGGGGAATGACATTTGTGGTTGAAAAGGTCCAAAAAATCTCTACCTTAAATTTTCAGTGCCACGTTGCTCAGGGAAAGTATAAGCAAAAAGCACTAATAGAAAGTGTTTAGACTAGGATAGTCCTGTGTAGCTGAAATTTTTACAATTCCATCTTCCACTTGTACCCAAGTCTTACAGAACCCAAGAATGAAGCTACTGAAGCATGGATCCCCCTAAATTCAATGGGAGAGCCAATTTTATGTAGCGGTATCAGGAAACAAAAGCATCAGGAAACTATGAGTTCTAGTCCAGTCTTAAGCCTGAAACCAGCTGGTTGACTTTGGGCCAGTCACTTCTTTCAGCCATAGGAAGAAGACAATGGCAAACCATTTACGAAAGACATTGCTAAGAAGACTGAAGAGACTAGTTCAGGCAGTTGCTAGGAGCCAAGCCTGATTTCAAGATAGACACAGATACAAGCCAATGGAGGGAAATTCTACAGTAATTTCTGGTCAGGCAGCCCAAATTTAGCATAAGCTTAAACCTTGAGAGGCAGGGGAATTCCCTCCCCCCCCAGGCTTAACTACTAGCTTAATCATTGTTCTTTAGATCAATTTAAACACACACAGAGACAAAGAGAACGAGATAGGCAGAAAGATAGACAGATAAAGTTTACTTAAAGATTGCCACTTTTATATCACTTACATTTCTGTCTCTTGATCAGGGATTCCAAGATTTTTTTTAACTAACAGATTTTGTGGTCTGGAATAATTTGAAATTTCCTGTTTCAATTATCAAAGCCTACTAAACCTTGCAATACTGTATAATAAGGAAAAATTCCATATAGTCTATTTAATTCTCTATTTTTTTTAATAACAACTTTTGTGGGATGAAAGCCCTTCAAATAGCCAAAATACATAGAAGCCTTCTTTCCATAGATTTTTTTTTTTATTTGTCAGAAAAATCAACCTTTATCTTATTCTTACTGGGTATTTTATATTTAAATCTGAAACAACAATCTGAAACAACAGAAACAGTATCTGAGGTCCTGCCTATAATTTTTAAATTTTCCTTTAGAATAAAAAAGTATACAATAGTTAAATAAATTAACTTGAGACATAGCTCTAACCAGAAAAAATGTTCACTATCAGGACACTTACCTAAGACTTCCAAGATATGCTTCCACCGATCCTTTACCTTTTGACGGATCTGTCGGTGGGCAATGATGTCAAAGCTCAAACGTCGGTAACCCTTTATCAGAATAAGGAGAACAGAAAAGAAAAAAGAATTCCTAAACTATACAGACCAGTAAAATACAAGCTCTTATAGGGGGCATATTTAAGGGCTGTGACTTCAATTAACCCTTATACTTATTTGTATAGGAAAAAAGAGCAAATGATTGATATGAAAAGTAATAATACTTTTACTTCTAATCCACCCAATAATTGAAATTTTCTGGATTAACCACAATTGTTAGACCTACTCTTTAAAGAAGAGTAACCAAAATACAATCAAATGATTATTATATGCCATCAACTCATTGCTGATTCTTAGTGACTACATAGATTTTCTCCATGATGATCTGTCCCTCACCTTGTCTTTCAGGTCTTCCAATAGCACCACTATTATTGAGTCGATTCACCTTGGTGCCCATCATCCTTTTCTTTACTTTCCTTCCACATAATGCAAAGAACCTGTTCCCTGTAGCTACCCACTTTGCTCCACTTGTTGGAGACCTCCACTTGCTGGAGAAGTGCCTCCAAAGATGACAAAAGCAACCATACTGAAACATAGCGCATTTCTTGAGATACTCTGCTCCTAATCTATGCAGGGTTTCAATACTGAAATCTTGAACCAGGAGGCCCAGAAAGAGAATGGGAGTTAAACAATGAATCCAGACATCATTATCCCTTTCTGATGATGTTTTGATTATTAGATTTTTCCATCCTTCTTCCATCCACCTGATATTGCTAGTAGCAATGAAAGTCATCAAGTACCAAGTCCACGGGAAAGTCATAAAGATAAAGATGTTAGCCACAACCATATAACACATAACACATGTGTGATGACCCAGGGCGTGGCACAAAAGCAACAAAGTCACAAAAGTAGGTAAAATCCCTTTAATAGCTCCAACTTGGTCCCCAATGTCCAGTTATCATTGGCTGGAGAAAAAACTCTCCCAAGAACAGTTTTTAAAGGGAAGAAATTCAGTCCGAACCCGAAGTACATATACATTATAAATAAAAACCAACACACACCACGCTGCAGCAATTAACGAGACAGGGCAGGATAAGGAATAGCAGACTTCAAAAGATAAACACACACCATTGGGAGGACGCCAGAACCCAGATAAGACTTGACAAACCAAAATAATTCATGCTTTGCTTCCAGCATGTTACTGTGCGCAAACACCCTTTTAAAATCCTGTTTTCCCAACAGCAGCTAATGAAGGGAATCATGGCCCTTTCCTCCCCCATAACCTACGTAACTTGTGTTGCTCCCTTCTCCATTCCTCCCTGCGTGCCCTAGGATGAAGAGGGGGTGGCCCTGGGTCTTCCTTTGAATGCCCAGCCAGACTGTGTCCTTCCCCAGTTTCTTCCACAGCCACCAGAGCCACAACCCCACTCCCTGTCAGCTGCTTGACCTCTCCCTTGGAATCAGATTCCAACAGGGGCATGACAACATGTAAAGTGGGCTTTGATTACATGTCTGTGGGTCAACATCTTTCTTTCACACACCCACACTTTCTGCCAGACACCTCTGCAATGAGACTTCCATACTCCAGATCTGTCTGGACCATTTTAGAATGTAATGCATCTGGAGCTTAGTTTATTATTTTTATATTCTACTTTAGGAGAAAATACTTGTCTGTTTAGGTAAAGTTACAGTTCTCAGGTGAAATCAAGGCCAATTTGGTAGAAAAAAATTAGCACCACTTCCACTCTCCCTTGTAGCATTGTACAGCATAGTGTTATTTAGCTACAGTTTCAGAGCTCTGAGGATGATGAGTACGGTAATTAAAATCACATTTCTAATTTTTATGAGCTCTAGAAGTCATGGACAAAACAGTTCATGGAATGATAACACAGCAAACCCAGCCGTAACTAGATGTAGCCACAAGCATTTTCAGAATGATCTTAAAAAGTCCAATTTATGCTTTTATTTTTACCTTTTTTTTTCTTGGCTCAAGGCAGCAATAGCATTTTTGTTTATGAGCATTCTTGACACACACTTCACCACTTTCACACAGAGAACACAACACGAGAAACTATTCACTATGTCTGCCAATATATCAAGCTACATGTGGTTGAATTCCACACCATTAAATTCAACTCCATATGAAAGAAAGAGCTCCAACTGTGTGGGCCACTTACCTCTGACCCACGACACATTTTTGATCTTTTCTCTAGAAGCTTGTGAAGCTCATGATCATCCCCCCGCTCCACATGAGCAGAGTCTGCTGGTTCATTCCACAAGTTAGCTGCCTCTGATTGCCGCCATTTCTGTAACTTATTGAAATACTGAAAGGTGTCACTGCAATAGAAAATGGAAAAGATTCAAGGTTTTGTTTTAGAGGGAAGTGTAAGGGGAATCCATAGCATGTAATGGAGTTATTGAAACTAGCCTAGCCTAGTCTTTTCCATGGTGTATCATTTATCTCACCCAAAATATTTAAAGGCTATAGACCTTGCACAGACTTTTTCAGGAGACTGAGGGCTTTGTATATTCAGATATATTCAAAGCTATGTCTGGGAATTGGATCTCAGACATGGCTGCTGAATTGGGACTCATAAACTCTGTGGCTTCACATTTTCTAGTGGATCCATCACCATTGCTCTGGAGCAGTATTTTACACCTTGGCAACTATGGAATCCCAGGATTCCTCAGCCAGGCAACACGTTTGAAAACAGACAAGGAGAGAACTTGAGATTGCCCACACGTGCTCCAAATAGCTGCTCCTCACAAGGAGACCGCAAAACAACTGCCTCTACTTGTTTTAGAGCCCTGGAAGAAGAAGCTTGCTCAAACAATGGTTGGCACCTTCAAAAGGATGCAGGGCTCATATACTTCCTTTTCTAATAATTTTTTAACATTGCTTGTTAACTATTTTTCAGCTATCAGGAAGCTTTGGATCAACAAATCTGAAAAGATTGGATGAGTTTCCTTTAATTGTTAGTGAAAGAAGTTTAAATACAACTTTTATTTTTTTATTTCAGAATAAACATCAAAAGGATAATTAGAACTTAGATTTTGGAATGCTACAAACAAACTTTAAAATTTTGGAATTAGTAATTTACTATTGCATCAGAATGCTTCCCATTGGAAAATGTTTTGGTAACACAGTAGGCTAACCGGAAGGAGGGAGCGCATTCCAAGGAGGGGTGCGAGATAAGAGCAAACATGGCCCAAAACTGGGTTATGGGAAGAGGATAAGATTTAGGATAACCATTTCCTAAAATCTCCAGGATACATCCATTAGGTTAGGGTAGTATAAGATTAGTCTGTCAAGATTGAATATGTAATCAAATAAAGAAAAATTTGGCTGGATTGTGTAACATTGTTCTTTGGCTAAGCGTGACATCTTGTTTTGAATTCTTTAAAAAAATAAAGATTGAATAGGACTTTGAAGGTTAGACACTAGAGGTAACTAGAAGGAATTATGATTACAATTAAAGGAGAACACTTAGAGTCAACTTGCAAATACAGAATGAAGCAAAATATTTTGACATTGGACATGCCACCATAATGAAATTAATTTCAAGAGATTAAGATATCAGATCCTGTTGAAAACAGGAACAGGAGAAAACTGCCTTGAAGCTAAGTAAAAGCACTCACAGATGCTGTCCTATTTATACTAATAACAAGCCATTACTTTATGCAGCCCAAACAGCAGCATTTAAACCTAAAGAGATAGCTTCAGAAGAGATAAATAAACATCCCCAAGGCTGCAGAAATATTGCTTTTATTTATTAAACAAACGTATATAGTAGCCCATCTCCCAAAGGAACTCTGGGAAGCAAACAAAATAAAAATATAATAACATTAAAAATCATTCAATGCGATAAACCGTGCTGAGGTCTGTTAAAAACTTCCATCCATCCATCATCCATCAGCGGTCAAATCCTATCAAATCCTGGCCCTTAGTGCCTGGAGGAAAAGAACAGATCTTCATCATTTTCCTGAAGGCCAAAAGGGTCGGGGCCATTCCATAAGGTAGGCACCATAACACACAAAGCATGCTTCTGAGGATCAGTAGGTGACACTGCTTCATAAATGTACTCAGAGCATGTCCAACCCTGCCAAATTTACAGGCAGAAACCATTGGAAGGAGGTAGTCCCACAAGTAATCTGGCCCCATGCAAGTACAGGACATTTTTGTCCCTTGCTAAAAGCATAGAAAAATATAGGGATGGGATCAGCCTAATGAGAAAATAACATGTTGAATACAAAAAGTTGTCCTTCGGTTGGAATTAGATGAGACACAGAAAACAAGGGGAACAAGGAACAGAACGGACAATGCTAGAAAACTGGAGATGGATCTAAATATTCCACTTTCCAGCATTTACTTTCAAAGCAAAAGATTTGCAAATTTGTACTATTGCAATCATATTTATGGAACCTTGAGATAATTGTGAAATGCTAAAATACATACCCAGTGATCAACGAATTCTTCTCCAATTCATCTTCATTGTGGTAACAGCAACAACACACTTGGCCCAAGAAATCCATGTCACTTGCAAAAGCTGCAGATTATAAAATATGCCTATAACTAGTATATCAGAGTATATGATAGGGATAACAGAAATTGCAAAAAAAAAAAAAAAAAAAGGCAAAGAAGTTTATATTTCTTTTTAAATACTGCCTGACAGTCATAAGCAGAGATCATGTGAAATGTTTCCTCCAATCTTCCATAGCTTAAGGCGTTTGAACAAAACATGCAAAATTCAACATAATATATTGTGGTCTTGGCATCTGGCATTTATATGGGAAGAAGAGTACGTTCATTTTTATTATCTTCCTCAAGACTTATTAAAGCCATATTAAATAATGAAGTGCTTCTAGGAAACAGTAAGTCACTTATCTAACCTGGTTGTAGCCCCTGACTTGATTCCCTTAATTTTTTTAAAATGGAAGAGTTGCCACGAACCTCACTTAAACTCCATGGATATAATTAGAAAATAAAAATACAAGGAGGCTGTACATCCATGCTTGTCAGGAAATGTACCTCACCATACAAAAGGTAAACTAGGATGGTAAACAGTGAGTAATTACCTTATTAATTTGACTTTTAGAACATGGGTTTTTAAATGAATCGTCATTCCACAAATTGGTGGCCAGTTTCTGACAGTGTTCTTGACACTCAAAATTACTGATGTCCCCAAAGACTTCTGGATCAAAGAATTAGCCTAGTTGTGAGATATCTTGTAATTTTTTAAAGACAAAATACCCAGTATACCCAAGACGACTGACTAATGGATGGGACTCATTTCACAACCATGATATATGATTGGTATGAGACTGTAATCCTGGCCTACCAAAACAAAAGTGAACATCATTTCTGAGATCAAACACTGTGTTTGGTATCAATGCTTGGTTTCAGTGGGGGTTTTGTGCCAAGCAAGAATGCCTAAGCTAGAGAATTTTCTGCCTTGATAGCTTTGTCTCAAGTTTTTTAAAAATGGCTTTTCCCAGTTTGGCTCCTTTCAGATGGGATCTTCCAGTCCTGGCCACTTCATATTGACCTACAGGCACCAAGACATCTGGAGCTCAGGTTGCAATAAAAGTTATCTAGCTTCAATAACAAAATGAGGGTGAATCACATTCCTTCAGCTAAAATTTAACATCCTCAGAAGCGCAAGAAACCACTTTTTTTCAAGCGATCTTTGATTATATCTTTGTGATATCACCACAAATACAGGTTGACAGGACAAAATGTCAGTTAAATTCCTGTATTGGTTTGGGATATTTTTCTCTTTGTTCTAGGCTATAGCTTATGGTTTATATACAAAGCACCAGCAATACACTTTAGATTTTAGAATTTTAGTTTCATATGATTGGATTGTTACAATGCTGCATTCCTATAGCTCAGAAAATAGGAATTTATAAGAGTCGGAATGAATGAATGAAACTTCTAATTTCAATTTTAATTGCAGTCAATATTTCAGAGTAATTTTAATAGTTGTAAACTTTGATTTAATAAGACTACTTTGGGAGTCAGAACACTTATTTGCCCTAGGATTGTTTTATTATCTGTATTTTATTACTTTTAAACAAGAAAATAAAAACTAACAGAGACTAATACAATATAAAAAAAGGAAAAAAAGAAAAAGGATGTAAGTGGCTTCTGATAGTCTTCACAATAGTTTTAAGTACCAATATATTTTAACCTCTATTGTTAAAGTTACATCATACTATTATTCTTTCTATAATCTATCCAGTCGAATCATCAACCCATAAATTGCAAGTTCATTTATGTGCAAAAAGTTCATTAAAGGCTTCCAGTCACCATTAAATTTTGATGTTTTTTTCTCTAATTGAATAAATCAATGTATCCATTTCAGCAAAATGTAGCAAATTCAGCTTCAACAACCATTGCTCATAGTGGTTGGTGTTGAATCTTTCTATCTGTGCATATAATAATCTAGCTGCAGTAATCATATATTGAAATAATCTTCCATAGCTTCTTTTCTGTTTAGCCACCAAATGGAAAAGCACTGGCTTCACTGGAATGTTATTAATAGGATTCTTGTTAAGATGTTACTAGGATATTTCTTAATAAGCAGCTGTTCTTGTAGGTTACAATCCCAACATATTAAAATGTTTCTCATTTCAAGAGCTATGGTTACTTTGAGTACTAAGGCAGAAAACCTCACATGCATTTTTCTTCCTATTTGTTGGACAATTGCCAACAAAATTACTCATTGTCCCTTTCATGATAGCCAGATCAGCTTATATAGATAGCTCCATTGGTTTTCTCCATTCTTTGAATTAATTTCAATTCCTACTTCTGTAGGTTCATACTAAAATCTCAGGCAATTCTGTCTTTTAACCAGCCAGCATCCAGCTTAAACAAAAATTCTTGCTCACAGAAGCGGCTTGTTTGCAGCATAGAACTTTAAACTGCATTCCTAAGGAAATTCTGAATTTGGACGTCATATTGTTAAGTAGCTGGCAAGCTCTATTATGTTTAGCAAACAGTTTTCATGTATAAGCCACAAAGTGAGATATCAAAATATGTAACTGGTCTTAATTGAGCTAATAACCACATTAATCTACATCTAAAAGGCTAATAATTTATTAAACCATAGTTCTGTGGCCTGTATTTTACACATTAGATCATTTTGTGTTTTTTTCAAGGTACCACAAGGGCCTTTGTTGTTTCTTTCTCATAAGATTATTTAAATGCAATAAATAAAGAAAATCTCAGATATGCTTATGCAGGATAAGTTATAACGGAACAGGTGTGTATTTATGAGAAAGCAGGTTTTGGGTCATGTTTTATATATATAAAACCCCCCACTAATTGCATAACACAGAAAAACAAAAAAATATTTAAAACAATGACAACAAAGATTAATTTAGATTAGATTAGCAAAGTTGAACGTAAAAAGATACATCAGGCTTAAAGAAGTACACATTGAGACAGTAAAGTTTTTATTATTACTTTATTTGATTAATTCTCAAATATTTGAAGCAAAGGCATGTTTTTTAATTGAAGTGGCTTTTTAAATGAGGTGTAAAGGCAAAGAAATCTGTTAGGTTAACAAAGAAGTACAAGCCACTTCCCAATGATATCCAGAATGTGTAAAAGTAACTGAAGGCATTTAAATAAGATTGCTAATCCTTTGAAATGAGAATATATTCACATATTGCATGATGGTGCAGGTTATTTAAAAAAAAAATCAAGAAAAATATTTTGAAGCAGCTTCTTGTTTATGACTTTCCTTATTCCCAGAGATGGTAGGCAGTAAGATTTCACTTCAATAGTGATAGGCAAGATATATATAAGACAGATGGAACTGTTAGTCCGGTTCATATCCTAAAGCCTTTTCAGGACCTGAATTTATTAAGGAATCATCTTGAAAATAAATGTTAGGATAAGAAGATGGACCACAAGTATCCACTTTAAGGAAGCACAATCCTCATGGTCTGGTGATAACTCTTGTCTTTGCTTTAAGAAGGTCCATTCATTATTATGGCAAATCCGGCACATGCCTCATGATGTTGTCAGCCGAACAAAGCTGAATATAATACCTTAATTAGTAAGTCCTTCAGCCTACTCATTACAGGATGGAATATCATAATCAAACTATGAAATGTCAGCCACTGTAGAAGGTTCAGTTCTGCAGACAGAGATGGGGCCTTCTTCACATTCTCGGAAAGAAGAAATTAAAAAAATATCATGATAGAACTAGAACAGCAGCTCAGAAAGACCAATTTGAAGCATAATTCTAATCCATGTATTCAATGGAGATAGTGGGAATTTCATTTCCTGAAACCATCACTTCAAGGACACATAGTCAAATGATGGTCACACTTTTGGGCAATTCAGTCCTCTGACTTGAAGGGATACATCATTGTTTAAGAAAATGGAGGGTCCAGAATTAATACAACAGTGATTAGAAAATTATCTGGCTTATTCTGCAGCACTCCAATGACTTCATATGCAGGATTACCTGATGGTACTCTTCACATTTGGATGTGTTTATGAGTTTATATTAGTCAGAAATAGTATGACCATGTCAAGGGAGAAAAGAGGGACAGATAGAAGTATTAGGGATTAAGCCACAGGACTTTGTGATTACGTTTATGAATTAATTTGGCACAACAACTGCAATGTTAACTTTGATCATTGGCAAGAGATCTCAAAGATTTTGCCCTAATTTTTCTCTTCAATATGTTCTGTTTTGAACCATCAACCATCTTATCTCCTCTTCCTGAGTCTATTCATTGACATCACTGGCCACAGGCTCATTTTTCATTTTTATCCTGAATGACAGCTAAATATTTTTTTTCAACTAGTAGGAAGAAGTATCCACTTCTTTGGGCCTTGATAGGTTCACAGAACATTCAAAAGGCAATGTTAAACCAAGTTTTAAGAATTAGATCTTGATGTGATATCCATAATTCTTTTACGCAGGTGGAACATAAATTCTGTCATGGTGGCACTCAAGCTTTGGTTAATTAGATATCGGGGAAGCCGACCCTATAGGACAAAACAAGCAAATCAAAACATATCAATTTAATGTTTATATATTCTAATGCTTATTGGTCTTGTCTAATCTAGTCAAATTATCAAATATTTGGTACATAATTATAAATATTTGGCCTCTTAAGATAGAGCAAGATCTTTCCCAGTTCTGCCATCCATCTTCAGTTTTACCTGAGACATTACTGAGTAAATGAGGTTAACCACAAACTATGGTTATTCTCTCTTTTTAAAATGAACAAAACAAAGAATCCAGGAACTTACTTTGTACAACTATGTCTATCTAGTTCAATTTCATCTACACTAACTTCAAGCAGAACTTCAATATTTCTGGCAACTTTTTTTGTCAAGTATATTTAGAAATGAAATCTACAACATTTGGCATACAAAGCATAGTTTCCCATCACAATATAGTTCCATTTCTAACCATAAGATTATAATAATGTAAGCACTGTGATGGGGAGATTGCAGAATTGAGCTATTATTGGGTTCACTTAAACAAATAATAGCTTGTTTATTAGAGAGGCCATAGATTAACACCACCAATTTCTCCCATGATTCTCTAAAAGGGAAACTGCAGCAACAGTAACTGGAACTAAACAAAACTAACCTGGGAACTAAAAACTTCCATTGCAGGAAACTGAATCCAAGCCATATAGATAACTTTATATTTTATATAGACTTTGTAATCAAAGTACTTTATGGATATCATAAAATATCTACATTGTAGATTAGAATAGCACTTAGCAATAGCGCTTAGATTTATATATTGCTTCATAATGCTATACAGCCCACTCTAAGCTCTTTACAGAGTCAGCCTATTGCCCCCAACAATCTGGGTTCTCATTTTACCCACCTCGGAAGGATGGAAGGCTGAGTCAACCTTGAGCCGGTGAGAATCAAACTCTTGGCAGTGAACTGAATTAGCCTGCAATACTGCATTCTAACCACTGCACCACCATGGCTCCTAGACTCATATTACCAATTAGAATGAAAATATCAGTGGGACATCATTTTGCAAAATACCTGAGAATTGAATTACTCTGTGATATTTATACATTACTGAGTCTCCTAGGAACTGCAGGAAGTAAAGTATGTATTACAAGAATTTGGGAATTTGAGAATTTGGTTGTTATACAATCCATGTAACATTCTGTTCGGTATATCCCACAAACACCAAGGAGCCAAAGACAATGCAATAGTAGTCAGCCAGTTGTGTTGAAAAATATTAGAGTACAGTAAAGCACAATGGACCAATTTACAATTATAACCTGCATTAAATCAAGACCTAGAAAGATAAAATATGCTTTACCTTAAGGTCCGTATTGAGTATCCAGAACAAGGTACAAAGATTTGGATTGGTGGGACATTTTAGGGCAACAAAACCTCCTGGGCCATTCTCTGCTCTGAGAAAAGCCAAAAGCATAAATAATGTTGGAGATATACTGACAGAGCAGAAAAAAATAAGATAAAATTTAGTTTAATGGCAGACCAATCTTTGAACAGAAAGGTTCAAGGCAATGTACATTTACATTATGAAAACAAATTAGGCCTTATCACTATCATTATACCCTTTTGATTTTAATGATGCCCTTTTAGAATCATTAATTGATTTAGTTCAGCTGCAATCCCACCTCCAGCTACTTAAAACTAGTACAAATAAGCTTCTGGCTTAAGAGTTACCTTACAAACATTCCATCAATGGAGTGCTAAAGAGGGCATCAACCACTTTGAAAACGGGACACTCAAACTACTTCAGATGGGAAGGCAGCTGTCAGTGATACTGGGTCCAGGCCATACTATTGAAGATTTTGCAAATTTATTGATTTCTTTTGAAAGATTTCTGCATTTCATGGGAAATTAGTTATGAGCAAGCCACCAACCACAGGAACAGTGCCAATTTGCATTGGTTACGCCATGCCAATGCATTTATAACTAAAGCATTATTACAGAGTTGTCCATAAGTCCCAGTGTCCTTTCAACCAAATGAATCTGGACCCCATGATTGCTTAGACTTCTCACCATGAAAGATGCCCTTCAAGGCATATCCCACAAATTTAAATACTGAGAAAAAAATGAGTGAAAAGATGCCAGTTCTTTTCTGTTTGATGTCTTGACAACAGATGCAAAAAACTAGGTTTTGTTTTTTTAACTGAGCATTTTGAATACCAGAAACTCAATTTCCTTGAACAGGAAAAAGATACATAACACTTGATAATCTACCTTGACATGTGAAATGAACACAGTCTCTCTCATATATCTTTCCAATTGCTACGCAAATTCTGAGTTAAAGGCCAATGATGTTTTAATGTTATTACTTAGAAAAATAAAGGTGGTGAACAAAGACACCCTGACTGGTTACCCGAGGCAGAAGGCAATGACAACAAAGAGGCCTTGTTGGAAACTACTCACAACTGGAGTTTGCTCATCACAAGACATTATCTACTAATTGCCCAGAAAATGCTTTTATGTAGGAAGCTCTGAAGTGCACCGTCCCAGGGGGTGGCTTCTGCATTAAAGTCAGAAGGTGTATCTTATTCATGCAGCCTTCATTACAGGCACACATGAAAGACCATAGAAACTATTCTGAAGGATGAGTGTTCCATTTGTTTTACCACAAGGAACTCTATAGACTGCTGATCTAAAAGTCTGAATTCCTGCTGATAAAAGAAAAACTCCAAATTTCTATTAGGAAATAGAAGCAGGAAGCAGAAAACTGAATACTTTGCCTTTTCTCTAAATCTGGCCAAGACCACCATTGTAGCAAGTTTCAGTTAACTATATAAATGGAACAGGGTATCTGAGTAAGAAAGGTCTACAGCTATCCTGAATGTCTATTTTAAAAATTCCTTTTCGCTTTGAATAAAAAAACATGAGTCCAACTATCTTTCAGAATTTTTGGAAAATATTTGGAATGGGAATTTTGGTCTTTGTTTTTAGAAATACTTTTCACATATATTACTTACAATTTGAAAAGTATAAAACACAACATGAGACAAGTAAAAAATGGTATAAATATTTGGGACAGCATGGCTGATTAGTTACTAACACAGGTAGTTCTCAACTTGCGATCACAATTGACCCCAAAACTTCTGTTGCTAAATGAGAAATTTATTAAGGGAGTTTTGCCCCATTTTACGACCTTTCTTGTCATGCTTGCTAAATGAATCACTGCAGTTGATAAGTCAGTAACTAAGTTGTTAAATGAACCTAGCTTCCCCGTTGACTTTGCTTGTAAAATGATTGCAACAGGGGTTCACATGACCTTGGGACACAGCTATAGTCATAAACAGGAACTAGTTGCCAAGCATCTGAATTTTGTTCACATGACCATGAGGATACTGCAAAGGTCGTAATTGTGAAAACCAGTCATAAATCATTTTCAGTGCCACCGTAACTTTTAACAGTCACTAAACGAACTGGAAGTCATCTCTCTCTCTCCCTCTCCCTCTCCCCCACTCCCTCCCTCTGTCCCTCTCCTAATGGGTTTATGTTGTAAGCTGCTCAGAGTAGCTTTGAAATGAAATGGGCAGCAAATAAATTTATAAATAAGAAAGAAAGAAAGAAAGAAAGAAAGAAAGAAAGAAAGAAAGAAAGAGACTTGACTTATGCTTGGGGAGTCCCAAGTATTTATAAGTACTACCATACAATTCTGCTTACATCCAAGAATATTCCTAAAGTATTTACAATTCTTATCAAATGAACAATAAATTATTTCCTCTCACTGCTGCTGAACGTCAAAAGCAAACTAATTGCTCAGAAAAGGCGGCTTTATAGGAAGCTCTTTACTGTATTTTTTTTTTCATTGCCAATGCAGACAGTAACTAAAAGCTTTATAATTAAAACAATATTTTTCCCTACTCTTTTCTACCTGTCTATTGGAAAAAGCTTCCAGGATGATATAGGACAACAATATGATTTTCATACCTGACATATTTGGAAGTTGGAGGGCGCAAGCTGTGAATTGTTGCCATTCCTGATGAAATGTACCGGTCTCTTCTTCTCTCAATCCGACGCACATTCACAAAATCTCTTGATTTGTAAAGAGAGCACATATGAAACATCAGTTCACTGAAATGAAATGGATAGTGAAAAATACAGTTTGAATTAGAACTTACCTAGGAGAGACAACACCAGCTGCGGCACCAGCTGCCACATCATAGGATACAGTTGTGTTATCATCAATCCGTTCCAAGATCTGGTAAGAAAACAGAAGGTTTTCCCACTTCTGCCAACATAAGCTAGTTTAGAAAATTTCCTTGGCATGATTTCTTTGTAAACCACCTTTGACTTGTGAAGAAATCAGAACAATGATGATTAATTTCAGATATGTTCACAAAATTAACTTCCATATTTACACTGAGTAAAACAATATCACTGACTGGTATTGTAAACATTCATATATTTAATCTGGTAACAGAATAAATTCTGAATCAATATATTTGAAGAGCACAAGACAAAGGAAAAACATTAAGCTTTGTCATTAAATAAAGCAGAAAAATACTTGCTGTTGGCAGAAACCAATGGATAGAAAATGAAAACTAAGTAGCAAATCCTGGGTAACTCTGTAGCATTTCAAAGATCCTCTTATTTTATAAATAGTATAAATATTTATTCTATTTATTTTTAAAATTATACATTATGCATTAATTCAATGGGGGATCTGTGTTTTTAAGCCTTTCGATCCTAATGCTCAGGCGAGTGGCATCAAAAGTGTCTTTAGTGTAGTCTTCCGGTTTGAGTCTCTTCGGCGACAGACCGAAATCCGTGATTGTGCACAGTTTCGATCTGTGCTCGCCGCAAGAGCACTCCGAGCCGGCTGATTTCGGGGCTAAGCCACCCCGTAGAGGTGGTGAAGAAGGGGGAGATTGCCAGCAGGGTCGAGGAGAGCCGCATCTCTCTTCCCCAGCTGGCCATTACTCCCTTTCCCGAAGGCGGTTGCAGCGGTGGTCAGAAATGGCCACCTCAAAGAAGAACTGAACTGGAAAAGAATGTGCAGGAGGAAGATAAGAAGAGAAAGTTTTGGTTGACCGGGTTAAACCGAAAAAGCAATAACGTAAGGTACCCTGGAATTAAAATTAAATAACATTGTTCCCAAAGAAGATTTTGAAGCTGAGAAGGAGAGAGAGAAGGGAAAGGATTAGTTTTTTTTTCTTCCCTTCCTTATACTGACAGCTAAGAGACTTAAGCAAGAAATTGAAAAAAATCCACTTTGACATTAATAGGCATCTAAGCTGAAAATAAAAGTCAAAGGGATAATAAAGATTTCTGGATATTTAAAAGTTTTTAAAAGCAGGAAAGGAGAAAAAAAAAGAATAAAAGGGCAGAATCTGGAAAAATGGAGGAGACTGCCTGGAACTAAGGAATGGAACTGTAACTAAAAGGAACTTACAGTGCAATTTTAACAAGATTCCTCAAAGATACATTTTAACTGAAACTTGGTAACAAAATAATAGAACCCCAGGAAGAGAAAGTGGAAAAAAGAAGCAAGAAGAAACAGCCCTGGATTATTTGGATTACTTGGTGATTTTTGGTTTTTGCATCTAGATGATTAAAATTAACTGGGTGGTTGTTTAAAAGTCTTTAAAATGGTATCACTCTTAGAAGAACTGAAAATGGAACTTAAAAAATGGAAAGAAGATGCACAAGAAGGGAGAGGTTCTTTTGGCTTCGTATTTCAATTCTTAGAAATGGAGATCTGGAACTATGAGAAACAACAAGAAACGCTTGCAGAACAAGAAGATTGGGACAAAGAAGAAGCCATCTTTAATGATCAAATAATTTTAAGTGGGGGGGAAAAAGAAAAGGGGGGAAAGAGAGTGAAAGGTTTAAGACTAGAAAAAAACAACCAAAAAGAAGAACAATTTGAAAGATAAGTATAATATTAGAAAGCAACAGAAGAGGGGATTACAGATGAGAGAGTTAGAAGTAGAGAGATGAGGGGGTAAAAAAGGGAGGGAGAAGAAGAGGGGGAAGAAAGCAAGGAAAAGAAGTTGTAAAAGACAGAAATAAGAAATAGAGAAACAGGGAAAAGATATAAGGATTGTAACCATAAGCTTGTTTAGAGATAATGGGTGAAAATTTAATTGTAAAAGGGATTCTGCAAAGGTACATAAGATAGCATTGTTATATTACAAACAGAAATAATTTTAGAAAATATGACTAAAATGATGGATAAATATTTACTGTTATGTAATGGAATGTTTGTTAATAAATGAATTAAAGTGATTGAGAGAATTAAATGGGAACATTTTAATTATTAGTAATGATTTATATAAAATATGTGAGAAATATGGGAAAAAAAAGAATTAACTATGGAAAGTTTATAAGTGTTCCCAAGGAAGTATGATATTTAATTGAAAAGAAATGTTAAAGATGTTAAGATTTTAATGAATATTAATGATAGAATTGAATTGGAATGGAATGTGTGTTTTATTTAAATATATATATAATTTTTTCTTTTTAAGAATATAGTGTGTATTTTAAGAAAAGTGTCTTTAGCAAACAAAAGGATGAGTAAGTATGCTGAATTCTGATTTATAACTATTGAAAAGAAAATAACGTAAGAAACCCAACAGTTTAGAAATCACCCTTCTACCTCTCTCTGTCATTTCCTGAAGATAACAGTTCATAGCAGGAAGAGCCACATATGTATATACATAATTTTAGCTTGGGGTATTAGAGAGATAAGAATAATCAATACTACAAATAATGTTAGTGATAAGTGAAGAATAGCTTTCTGTCTGGAAAGACTTACGTGGCATGCTAGCAAAGTTTTATTCCATAAGACCATCTTCTCTGGTTGGAGAATCAGCTCCTGGTATACTAACTCAGCTGGACATTGCAGAATAGCCTGCAAATGAGGGACACAGGTTACATTACAGAGCCTCTTCCCCGAGAAACAGTTGTAACAAGGGTAACTAACATTAACCAGTCAATGGAAATTGAAGGATGAGCTTAAACACCCCAACACCTCATTTAATGGCATATTCTCAACACTAACTAAAGCAATAATTAAAACAAATATTCATTTGAGAATACTGTGATGCTCAGATGTTGTTGGGTTCCAATTCCCTATCATCCCTAACTGATAGTCATGTCAGCCAGGTCTGATGGGAATTGAAATGCATCCATATCCCAATTTAAAAACTGTCAAACAAAGAACATCACTGGGAGAAGTGCTGGGAAGAATGGAATACCAGCTAGACACAAAAAATAAATATGTATAGCACAGGGTGGCAAGAAATCACCCCATAGTAATTTCCCCTCCAGCTACTCAAAAAGCATCCCTTTCAAAACATGGATTGTGTTTGCCCATCTCTACTCCCTCCATTTTCAACAAAAGGTGTAGGAAAGGAAAGATGTCTGGGAAGCTTGGAAGGAAGCTGAAAGGCACCTTACCTTTAGGACGAAAACCTTGCCATAGAATGGCATTTCGAGAAAATGAATTGTATCCCCAAAGTCCTGCACAAGAAGTATTAAAGTCACAAGAGTTCAACATTTGTTCTTTTACTGTCTTATGAAAGACATAAGACATAAGACATAAGAATTTATTTGTCATTACACTCGCAAGCGGGTGCAACGAAATGAGGTGCTCTTCCACAAAATAAAAACTGGACAAACACCACTAAAAAGAAAAAAATTAAACTAAACACAACCAACCATACAATCATCTCTATGCAATTTAAAAATGTAAATACCCCATTACTCTCAGCCATTTAATTCCACAAAAATCTTATGACCCTGCATTCAAACTCAAAACTGCACTTGGATAAAAACTGTTCTTAAATCTGGTCGTCCTTGTTCTTAATACCCTAAATCTCCTTCTCGATGGTAATAGTTCAAAGAGCTGATGTCCTGGATGAGAGGAGTCATTCAATATATTAAGTATCTTCCTCTTACGTCTATTCCTATACAGTTCTTCCAAAGAGGGGAGTGAGCAGCCAATGATGTTTTGGGCCGTCTTGATCACCCTCTGAATTGCCTTTTTCTCTGCCACTGTGCAGCTCGAGAACCATACACAGAGACAGTAGGATAATATACTCTCAATTGAACTCCGATAGAAGGTAGTCAGTAGACTCTCAGCCAGTTGTTGTTTCCTAAGAATCCTTAGTAAATACAACCGTTGTTGTGCCTTCTTAATTAAAGCAGCGGTGTTTGCACTCCAGGTCAGGTTATTTGTAATGATGGTCCCGAGAAACTTACATTCAACCACCTGTTCCACACGAACTCCCTCTATATACAGTGGCTGAATGTCTGCTCTTTTTTTCCTATAGTCCACTATAACCTCCTTGGTCTTCTTAATATTAAATAGAAGATTATTATTTTTGCACCAGCGGGATAGCTGTAATACCTCATCCCGATATGCAGACTCATCATCCCCAGAAATAAGTCCTACAAGCGTAGTATCGTCTGCAAATTTCCAGCATTGCAGCAGTGCCCCCACATCCACCACTTTTTATTAACTGGGGTGGCCCCAAGGTTAAATAGCAGGCAATCCTATAGTAGCTTGTCTATCTGATTCACCAGCCGCCAGCCTAACAACTTCCACTGCTTCTATAAATTATCTAGTCCAGCAAGCACCCAGGACAGTTACTCCAGTTGAGAGTGAAGCCACCAAGAAGCCTCTTAGTAATATGCCCTGGCTGGCCTGATTTGGCACAGTTGGACTACTTAAGACAGTACTCTTGGTTAATCTCAGAGGCTATAGTGGTTCAACAGAAGTTTAAAAAAAAGACAGGGACTAGGTGTAACTATTTAAACTATGACTTAGTGAATATAAAATGCCAGGGTTTTGAGAAGTAAAAAAAAAAAAAACAGATCAAAATAAATCACTTTAGAATTTTTTCCACTTCTAATATAACATATAAGTTCTACAAGTCAATTAAAAAACAAGCTGAAATCTTTCAGGTGAAAAAAACAATAAACTTACAAATTTGTGGTTGCGTAAGTGTGTATACCCTTTAAATTAACACTTTGTTGAAACACGTTTTGATTTTATGACAGCATTCAGTCATAATTGACAGCATTCTGCAGTAGGAGCCCATCAGCATGGCACATCTTACCTTGGGAATCTTTACCCACTCTTCCTTGAAAAAGTTCCAAATCTGTTAGATTGCAAGGGCATCTCCTGTGCACAGCCCTCTTCAGATCCCCTACAGATTTTCAATTGGATTCAGATCTGGGCTCTGGCTGGACTATTCCAAAACTTTAGTTTTCTTCTAGTGAAGCCAGTTTTGTTGATTTGGAGATACTCTTTGACTCATTGTAAAGGTGATGTTTCTCTTCGTCTTCAGCATTTTAGCAAAAGCCTGAAGGCTCTGCTACCACCTTCATGCTTCACTGTGTGGTATGGTGTATTATTGGTAGTGCAGTGTTGTTTTTTGCACCAAACATACTTTTTGGAACTATGGACATAAAATTCACAGCCTTGGTCTCCTCAGACCATAACACATTTTCCCACATGCTTTTGTCAGACTTAATGTACTGTAGCTTTGGAAAATATAGCCAGGCTTGGATATTTTTCTTTGTAAGAAAAGGCTTCTGTCTTGCCACCCCACAACCCAGACATATGACAAATATGGGAGATGGTTGTCATATGTATTACACAACCAATCCTTGTCAGAAATTCCTGCAGCTCCTTTAATCCTGGCTCTAGTAGGTCTCTTGGCAGCGCTTCAGACTAGTTTTCTTCAATTTTGGAGGGACATCCAGTTCTTGGTAACATCACTGTTGTGTCATATTTTTTCCACTTGTTGATGACAATCTTCACTGTGTCCCATGGTCTATTGAATGCCTGGATTTTTTTTTGAACTCTTGTCCTGACTGATACCATCCAATAAGAAAATCTCTTCAATCTATTGTAATTGGAGGGTATGGTTCTGGCTGTAAGAGGCAACTGAGTAAATTCAGAAAAATCCTAGCAGAACAGCTAAACCTTATATGGGCTTGATCGGAGCAATTTTAATTGATGACAGATGTGTATTGACTACTATTTAATATCTGTTTGAATAGTGGTTAATTCTAAACACAGCCACATCCCTACTTATAAAAAGGCATATAAAAACATATTTTATAAGTTTTTTAGGTTTTTTTCCTCCTCAAAGACTTCAGTGTGTTTGGTATTAAATAGAAGTCAATAGCTGGCGGTGCGACGATACGGCATGCGATCTTGGAGGTCTGAGATCGCTGCCGATATCTTTGCTCCTGGACGGTCCAAGTGGATCTAAACCATCCCAAAGAGACGGTGAATGTAAAGAGCGCATCCTGTTGATCCCAGGGATATCACAAAGTCCCTGGTAGATCCAGGAGAAGCTCTTTTTGCCAGCGGCAAAGAGACAGCCATTAATGCTGCTGAAGTTGGCACAGCTCCGAAATGAAAGAGAACAAAAGAGAAAGTGTGCCGGTTTGGTGAGAACTTTTCTTAAGAAAAGTTCTAAAGATTTTCTTTCTAAAGATTTGAGAGGACACCCTAAGGGAAAGAAAGAATCTGTAAAAGTTTTTTGACAGAAGTGAATAAGCGGCGATTTTAAACAGGAATGTCAAAGTAATATTTTTATTTTTTTCTTATTGCTGATGATCCTATATTTCGAAACTGGACTGGTTTTTTCCTTTTTTTATCTACTCTTTTCTTTCCCGTTTTTGATTTTATAATATATTAAGCCACAGACTCCCTTTTAGTCTTTTTTTTTAAAAAAATATTTTCTTCCTTTTTAAACTAATTCTTATTATACTCTGCCGGAAAAGGAGGGGGAAAGTGAAAGCTAAAGAAACTTTTTAACACTGCCAACTAGAGGCTTGAAAATACTCTACTTTTCCTTTGACCAGACAAAGCTGAGAAAGAATTGAGACTTTTTTTCAAGGACACTGCCTGTTTGATAAGATAGAGGGAAGAGCATGGGAGAGTATTATTGCAGGTGCTCTTCTGGGTTTCTATCAACAGCTGGAGTCTGGTGTTGAAACCTAGGGGGAAAAAAGGTGATAAGTTTTTGGAGAAGAGAGTTATAATAAGAGCCTTGGATAATTAAACAAAGTGCAGTGTGCTCTTCTTACTTTTTCTAAGTTGTGCTATCCCCCCTCACCAGCTTTATTTTATTTCATTTTATCTTTTTTTTTTTTTTTTGCAATAGCTATTTGGATCTTTGGCTTTGTTGGAGCTTGTCTTTGTTTTTCTTTTGTTTTTCTTTGGAAGTCCAATCTCTACGCTTGCTTTTTATTTTAAAGGGAAAGCTTTAGTATTAATGTTTCCTTTTTTTTAAGGGAATAGCCTTTTTTTCTCCTTTCCTGGTATTTTTGTTTTTTCATCTACCTTTCTGGTTGATTTTTATGCACTTTTCTATTTGAGACCTCTCAATTGGATTAAGGTGTTGAAGAACCTGAAGAATTTTTCCTTTCCTTTTCTTTTTTTCCAAGCCTTTTTCTTCATCTAACCTCCGATTGGATTAAGGTATACAAGAACCTGAAGAAATTTTGTCCTCCCTTTTTTTCTTCTTCTTTTTTTATCATTACTTTTTGGCTTTTTTTTTCTACTATTTTTATTTCGAACTACAATTGGTTATTTCACAATTGGATTAAGGTTTAGAAGAACCTGAAGATTTTGAATTGCTTAAAATGAGTAGGAAACTAACAGCTCCTGGTTCTTCAACTTCTACTTTCTCCTCTCCACCATCTGGAGGACAATGTTCAATACAGACAATGTTAAAGCAAGAAAAAGAACAAGAAAAAGTGACTCTGCAGATGATTATGCAAGGAATTCAAAATATTCAAGCAAGATCAGAGAATATTGAAAAGAGAATAGAGAACATTGACCAAAGAACAGAGAACATTGACCAAAGAACAGGGAAAACCGATGAAAAAGTGGAGAACATCCAACAAATGATGTTGAAGTATGATGAGAGATTCCAAAAAATTGAAGAAGATAAACAAAGAGACAAGAAGATTGGAGATATTGATAATAGATTAACGGTGGTTGAACAAGATAAAAGTGGTATGTTGAGATGGGAGATGGATAGATCAGAATTCTATCTTAGATTCCAAAACGTAGAGGAAGAAAAAGGACAAAACTTAGCTGAGATAATGATAGAAATACTGGCTGAAGCTTTGGAAATAACTCAGGAGAAGATGATGGAGGGAATAGATGAGGTTTATTGAGTTTCCACAAGAAATAGCTTACCAAGAGAAGTTCACATTAGATTTACAAAGAAAGCCATTAAAATGCAAATATTGCAAGTGGCAAAAGAGAAAACATTGAAATATAAAGACAAGGAGATTGTGGTCTTGAAACAAATACCCAGAAGAGTGAGAGAGATGAGAAGAGAATACCGATTCCTGACTAAAATGCTACTTTAAAAAGAGGTGAATTATAGATGGCTGATTCCAGAAGGTTTAATGGTCACATGGCAAGAACAGAGACATAGAATTGACTCAATTGAGAAAGCGGAATTATTTTATGCAGAATTTTTTGG